GTCGTTTCTCTTTAGTTGTGAAAGGCAAGTGATCGGGCTCAGATCTTCCTTCTTCTCTTTCCAGGTTCGTTGTCTCCGTGGGCCACTTCGACCATGGGCAGGGGAGGATTGTGAGGCCTCCAGGCCTCCCTTCTACCCCCCCCCCTTCTTTTTTTCCTTCCCCCCCCCCCCTTGCTTCCATCTCTCCCACTCACTCACCTTTGCTACTTTTCCTCCTCCTTCTCTCTCTCCCACTCCCTCACCCTTGCTACTTTTCCTCCTCCTCTCTCTCCCACTCCCTCACCCTTGCTACTTTTCCTCCTCCTCTCTCTCCCACCCACTCACCCTTGCTACTTTTCCTCCTCCTCCTCTCTCTCCCACTCCCTCACCCTTGCTACTCTCCCTCCTCCTCTCCTCTCTCCCACTCACTCACCCTTGCTACTTTTCCTCCTCCTCCTCTCTCTCCCACTCACTCACCCTTGCTACTCTTCCTCCTCCTCCTCTCTCTCCCACTCACTCACCCTTGCTACTTTTCCTCCTCCTCCTCCTCTCTCTCCCACTCACTCACCCTTGCTACTCTTCCTCCTCCTCCTCTCTCTCCCACTCACTCACCCTTGCTACTCTTCCTCCTCCTCCTCTCTCTCCCACTCACTCACCCTTGCTACTTTTCCTCCTCCTCCTCCTCTCTCTCCCACTCACTCACCCTTGCTACTCTTCCTCCTCCTCCTCTCTCTCCCACTCACTCACCCTTGCTACTCTTCCTCCTCCTCCTCTCTCTCCCACTCACTCACCCTTGCTACTTTTCCTCCTCCTCCTCCTCTCTCTCCCACTCACTCACCCTTGCTACTCTTCCTCCTCCTCCTCTCTCTCCACTCACTCACCCTTGCTACTCTTCCTCCTCCTCCTCTCTCTCCCACTCACTCACCTTTGCTACTTTTCCTCCTCCTCCTCTCTCTCCCACTCACTCACCCTTGCTACTCTCCCTCCTCCTCTCCTCTCTCCCACTCACTCACCCTTGCTACTTTTCCTCCTCCTCCTCTCTCTCCCTCTCACTCACCCTTGCTACTCTTCCTCCTCCTCCTCTCTCTCCCACTCACTCACCCTTGCTACTCTTCCTCCTCCTCTCTCTCCCACTCACTCACCCTTGCTACTCTTCCTCCTCCTCTCTCTCCCACTCCCTCACCCTTGCTACTTTTCCTCCTCCTCTCCTCTCTCCCACTCACTCACCCTTGCTACTCTTCCTCCTCCTCCTCTCTCTCCCACTCACTCACCCTTGCTACTCTTCCTCCTCCTCCTCTCTCTTCCACTCCCTCACCCTTGCTACTTTTCCTCCTCCTCCTCTCTCTCCCACTCACTCACCCTTGCTACTCTTCCTCCTCCTCCTCTCTCTCCCACTCACTCACCCTTGCTACTCTTCCTCCTCCTCCTCTCTCTTCCACTCCCTCACCCTTGCTACTTTTCCTCCTCCTCTCCTCCCTCCCACTCTCTCACCCTTGCTACTCTTCCTCCTCTATCCCTCTCTCGCCCTTGCTGCTTTTCCTCCTCTCTCTCTCTCTCTTTCTCTCTCTCTCTCTCTCTCTCTCACACTCCCCTACATTTGCACTCCTGTTTCCCCTGTTTCTCTTCCTTTCTTCCTTTTCTGTCTTATCTTTAGTTTTGTCATTGTTTTCCTTCTATCCCTTAATTTCTCCTTGCTCTTCATATTTCTGTTCTACAAATCCTTAGCACTGATGTTCATGATTTTAACTTTCCCTTTATGCTAGCCTAGCTCAGTCTCAAAGCTTTTCTTTTGTTTGTTCATCTTTATCTGTTTTCCCTTTCTATATAATGTTGCCCTACCCTTCCTTCTACCCTTTCCCCTTTTTTTTTCTCACTGCTCTTGCCCTTTATTCTATGGGAGCTATACTAAAGATCTACCCTCCCTGGATCTACCCCCTCTATGCTAGCCTTTCTCTTGTCTACACTTTGTCTATCTGCCTTCTTCCCTGATCTCTCCCCACCTTTCCCTTATCCAGACCCTTATTTCTACGTCCCTACTATCCTGATTGAACCCTTAACCTTATATCCTGACCTTATCCCTGGCCCACGGGAATTCGTAGGATCCTGGAGGAGCCACAGCAGACGGATCGCCTGACACTTATCTTTCATTATTCTATGTACACGCCTCTCATGTTCTATAGGCGTAAACCATGTAAACAACATGTAGAGTTCAGTCTAGGATATTTATTGTTTACTTTGTTTACTTTGTTTACATACTGATCTCGGGCTTTTTAGACTCGCGTATCTTCATGATACCGAACTGCCGCTCAGTTTTACACTTTTTATTTCTCGTGTTTGTAGTATGTAATTTGAATGTTTTGTTAAATGAGATCAGTTTGTTTCAATTTTTATTCATTCTATTTTTAGCAATACTAGGCCAATTTAGTTCTTTTTTGTTATTTTAAGTTGATAATTATAAAAGTTTCGTGGCATCTTTCACTATTTTTACTCAGGGCAGAATTTATGTATTTTAATGTCTTTTTACTCTTAACATGATGATTGGTACTGTTCATTTATTTTGTGTCATGTTTAGCGGTTTACTGATGTTTTTTTTATATTATTTATTTTGCCATAAATATTTTTATCTGCACTTTCTTTTACCTCTATTATTTTTATATGTTATTTTTAAAACTTAAAGTGTGTGTTTTTCATTTTATAACAATCATTACTGGTCCTTGCATAAATCTTGTATTTTAAATAATTCTAATATAAAAGTTGATGTATGTCTCGTCTCCCTTCCCGCCTATATAAGGGGACCATTTGTACCCAATAAAGAAGTGTCAGTTCGAACGTGTGTTTGTGTGCTACTCCCGATGGATCCTACAGTGATTTGCTGACGTACAGGAACGAGAAAGGTTGTATCTGAGCCTTATTCTTGCCGATCTTAGGAGAAGCTGGGCATGCTACTTATATGTGCAGAGATAGTTATAAAAGCACTTGTACTGCTTCTTCAGACAGCCCATTCTTCTTATGAGGGCCTGTAAGAGATGTTTGTTTCACCTTTGCTTTTGTTTTTGTTTTGTTTTATGGAGTAAACAGGGCCCCCCCTATCCTGGCCCTTATGCCTTTTATCCCGCTTCACGGGGCATCGTCACTTTGACGGTGTGACGAAAAGGGCTCCTCCCACGGATACCTTACACCTTCTCTCTATCTCTCTTCCTCCCTCCCTGCTTCCTCTCTCTCTCTCTCTCTCTCTCTCTCTCTCTCTCTCTATTTTGCTCTCTTTCTCCCCTCCACAGCGTAATGATATTTTAGTAAATTGATTTTGTTAAGCAAAATAGGGTCCACTTTGAATATGGATTGTTTTTGTGAACGCTAATGTCATTTTTTCCTGATCGATTTATCATCTTCATCATATTATACTTCATCTTCACTCTCCTCTTTCTCATCCTCTTCTTTATTATCATAATTATCTTTCTCCTTTTTTGGCCATTCTATTTCTCTCTCTTCAGTTTTGCCACCTTTCTTCTCCCTCTTTTTATATCTCTTTCTCCATCTCTTTTCTCCTTCTCTCTTCTCCTCTTCCCTCTTCTTTCTTCTCTTCCTCCTTTCTCCTCTCTCCTTCTTCTTTTCCCTTCTCCTTCCTCTCTCTCATCTTTGCCTCCACCTCCACCTTTTTTCTCCCCCTCCTCCTCGTCTTTCCTCTCCTGCTCCTCCTTTTCCCTCCTCCTCGTCTTCTTCCCTCTCTTCCTCCTCCTTCCCCTTCCTCCTTCCCCATCTCCTCCATAACTTCTTCCTCTTCTTTTCCTCTCTTCCTTCCTCTCTAACACTTCCTCTTCCTCATTCTCTCCTAAACCTCATCTTCCACCATCTATTGCCACAAATACATGCTAATGAAAGTAGTGCTGATAATAGCAATAACCACAATTTACACTAACTGTTCCTACTACTGATTTGGACTAACGATTTACATCAACGATTCATACTAGCAATTGGCACTAACGATTAACACTAATAATTCACACTAACAAGTCACACTAACGATTCAAACCAACGATTCGCACAAACAAGTCACACTAACGATTTACACTAACAATACACACTGTTGATTCACACTAACGATTTAACTAACAATACACACTGTTGATTCACACTAACGATTCACACAAGCAAATCATACCAACAACGATCCACACAAACAATCCACACTATCGATTCATACTAACAATTCGCACCGACGACTCACACTAACAATCCACACTGTTAATGCACACAAACAACCCACACCAACGCCTCACACAAACAATCCACACCAACTCCTCACACAAACAACCCACACCAACTCCTCACACAAACAACCCACACCAACGCCTCACACAAACAACCCACACCAACGCCTCACACTACCAACCCACACCAACGACTCACACAAACAACCACACACCAACTCCTCACACTACCAACCCACACCAACGCCTCACACAAACAACCCACACCAACTCCTCACACAAACAACCCACACCAACGCCTCACACAAACAACCCACACCAACGACTCACACTACCAACCCACACCAAAGACTCACACAAACAACCCACACCAACTCCTCACACTACCAACCCACACCAACGCCTCACACAAACAACCCACACCAACGCCTCACACAAACAACCCACACCAACGCCTCACACAAACAACCCACACCAACGCCTCACACTACCAACCCACACCAACGCCTCACACAAACAACCCACACCAACGCCTCACACAAACAACCCACACCAGCGCCTCACACAAACAACCCACACTAACTCCTCACACAAACAACCCACACCAACTCACACAAACAATCCACACCAACGCCTCACACAAACAACCCACACCAACGCCTCACTACTAACCCACACTAACGCCTCACACAAACAACCCACACCAACGCCTCACACAAACAACCCACACCAACGCCTCACACAAACAACCCACACCAACGCCTCACACTACCAATCCACACTACCAATCTCCCCCTTACAATCCACACTAAC